TTTATGAGAGTTTAAGTCAATTCAGTAGGTCAGGGGAAGAATGAATGCATCCCTATTCCTCCCTATTGCAGATGATAGAGATTCCATAGTGGGCTGATCCAGCTTTCTCTATTCCTCTGCTTTAGTCACACTCAACTTAGAATTCAGTCTGTTTCTAGGGATAGCAAATAAGATTAACACTTTTAGTTCTTTCCCTGTTTAGGAGAATGAGATGTCGGCTCTGGTTCTATTAAGGCAAATTTACTACTGTAGACACGTGAATTTGTGTCAACTAACATAGGACTTTAGATATTAGACCTAGGATGACTTCCAGCTCTGCAAATCCCTCTGTTCCTCAATTTTTTCTTCCATATCTTCATAGGGTTATTTTATTGTGAGAATTAATCAAGGAAAAATGGATTTCATAGTGCTTGATATGTAATAAATTTTTCATAAGGATGAACATTTATTAGACTACTTAGGAGCTTGACATCTTATCTGACACATGCTTTTTGAGGCAGGGGATGATGCTTGATTACATTTTGGGGGAAATATAATTTACATCCAGTGAAATATGCAAATCTTAAGGGTACCAATCAATGAATTTTGGCAAATGCATTTTTTTTCTTACTGGACACATGAACTTTCCCCCACTTTTATGGATACTGTATTTATAAAGCTGCAGTAATCATTCTTGTAAAAGTCTCTTTTGAACTTCCATTTATTTCTCTGGGTTAAATACTTAAGAGTGGAATTGTTGGGACACAGATAGGTTCATACTTTGTTTTATAAGAATCTGAAAGATGTTTTACCAAAAAAACTGCTACCATTTTATACTCACACCAACAATGTATAAGAAATATGGTTGTTCTACATCTTCATCAACATTTGGTCTTGTCAGTATTTAATTTTTGTTAGTTTATTGATTGTATTGTGACAATTTATTCTGATATTAATTTACATTTTCCTCATGACTGATTGGAGCGAGCTTTTTTCTCACTCCCTTGTTGGAGTGAACTTTCTCTTGCTCCTGGTTATTACTAAACCTAACTGGGCCTAACTGGGTGGAGATGCAGAAAAGACACAGGATAGACAGACAGACAGAAAGTGGGGCCAGGTATGTTGGGTGCCTGGGTGGAGACACACAATCCTTACTGCTTCTTTTCTCTATTATTCTCTTCATTTACTCTGCTTCTTTTTTCTATCTTTATTCTTTAAGGTCTTAATCCTATACAATTCTTTAAAACCTTACTTCTAAAGTCTTTCCTCAAAACTTTGCTTTTAAAGTCTTCTATTTTGTTCTTCAAAGTCTCTTTCCTTAGATTCTCTCTGTCCCATGTTTTCTCTTAGCTTTTCTTTAGCATAATCTCTCTTAACATCTTTACCCCCAGACTTGCACTGTCCCATGTTCTTTCTTTAGCTTTCTTAAAGCCTTGGTGCTCAGACTTGCACTGTCCCATGTTCTTTCTTTAGCTTTCTTAAAGCCTTGGTGCTCAGACTTGTACTGTCCCATGTTCTTTTTAGCTTTTCTCTAACTTAGCTTTTCTAAAGCCTATGTATAAAGTTCTCAGTGTAGACTTTCTATCAATCCCTCTTTAGCAATTCCCCTTTGGCAATTCCCCTTCAGCAACTGTCCTTCAGCAATTCTTTTCCCTTCAGCAATCCTTTTCCCTTACAAAGCCTCCCACATCAAAAAGCCAAAAGCCCAAAAGCAAAAGCCAAAATCCTCCCAGCCAAAAATCCTCTGACTTGCACTGTAGAATCCTTGGTTCAGGAAGCTGGGAGACACACACCAGCCATCAGCAGCATCAGCATTCCACCTGCATCCTCCTTCAGCGAGTCTTTTATACCCAATGGTAAACAGGGTGGAGCAGCAGTTCTTGGGGAGAGGTGTGACATTGTAACAATAGAAACCTGCAATCTAACTCTCTCAACGTAAACAACTTAGGAAAAGCAGGTGTTTTGCATTTTCCTCTTCTGTGGCTGGGGAGGGGATGTGCCAATCTCAGCCTGTAGAAACATCTTAGGAAAAGCAGCTGCTCTGCATCTTATTCTCACCTTATTCTGTGGCCAGGGCTGTGCCGAATTCAGCCTACAGAACATTGAGTACATCTAAGCTTCTCATAATCTGCTCTCCACAAATGATGTTGTTGGATGCATTTTTATGGGCTTATTAGCTGTTTTCTTCTTTTGAAATATTTGTTCAAATCGTTTGTCCATTTTTTAAGACAGAGGCTCCTGCCTTGGCTTCCCAAATGCTGTGATTGCAGGGATATGCCATCATGCCCAGCTTTTTTGGCCCATTTTTAATTGGGTTGCTTATCTTTGTTTTATTATTTGTAGGGTTTTAATATATTCTGGCTACAAATTCTTTGTCAGATATGTGTTTGTGAATATTTTTTTCAATTTGTGGATTGTCTTTTATTTTATTAAGTGTATATTTTGATGAATTGATTTGTCTTTTAACTGATAGTATTTATTGAGTGAGTAAGCTAAAATTGTTCTTGCCTCCCTTCTTCCCTTCTTTATTTCATTCCAGGATATTTAGTGATTACCTAGAGTGGCAGCCACTCTTTTGTGCTTAGAAATGGAGCAGAAAACAAAGCAGACACATTTCCTAATCTCATGAAACTTGTATTTTAGTTTACTTTGTCAGGATAGAGTAGGAAACAGACAAAGACATAAGTAAGCAATAAAATATAAGCTAGTTATAGATAACACAATGCAAAAATGCAGTGCAGTGTAAACTTAATGGGAAAATGTAGGGTTTTGGACAAAAAATATAATAATCTGACAGGATTTAGGCTAATTGGAGATAGTATATAACTGAGTGGGTGAAACCAGTCCCTGTGGAGTCCAGCAGACTCCATGTGAAAATTATAGACCATCTGGCTGATGATTTGTTGTACTTCAATAAATATCTAAGGAGTACAAACAGCCAGAGGGGAAGCCTATGGCTTGTTTGGATTTGCTTTGCCTAGAACTTATGGAAATTGGACAATAATTGACTTGGTTGTATCCTAAAGGAGTCAGATGTATCCTCTGAATGAGGCTAGAGAAAGAAAATCAGTCTAATTACAGGATTAGTAGGCAGAAATCTAATGTGTAGATATACCTAAGAAAAAAATTTGGTCATTCTGATCAGCTATAGACTATAGATATATGCTCTAATAAATGCAAAAATATGAAAAGGACTATTATAAGAAAAACAATTTTGTAAAGGAATACATGAAAAGAAATCAGCAAAAGAAATTTAGCAGTTCATGTAAGTCATTTGGCAGTTCATCAGACTGTAAAAACAGAATAATCTATTTGGAATGAAAGAGGAGGCAATTCATCCCCACAAAAACCTAATGCAGACCATGCAGTCTTGGTTTCCAACTCAGCTCCCTTCTCAGTTCAATTTATAGTCTATGGCATGGATACAAGAAACCTCAGGAGATAGGAACAAAAATTTTAGCACTACTAGTAAGTAGAGGAGAAAGAGTGAACATGTTATAAATAAAGCAAACAAATGACTCAGCAATATGAGATATATTAAATTACTAAAAATTTGCATCCTTAATGAAGTCATTTTAAGGTGAGTAAGGAGTGATAAGGCAGACACATGTAGCAGGTAGATTATATTGGGCCAACTCCTAGATTTTTAAATAACTTTTGAGACACGGTTTCACTATGTATCCCAGGATGGCCTAGAACTGACTATGTAGCCCAAACTGCCCTGAAACTCACGATCTTGCTGCTTCAGCCTCCCAAGTGGTGAGATTACAAGTGTGCACCATGCCTGGCTCCAATACCTAGATTTTAAAACAAAGAATACTGCCTTACAGAAATATATATTTGCTCAGAAAAAAGCACTGTAGAGCCCACAAGACATGCAGATGAAAATAACACAATATCTTTAGACAAAGCTGTAGGAGCTAGCTGCTAAATATGGAAGATCAGCAGTAAAGGGAAACAACTAAGGAGCTAATTTTATAACTACAGTTGTCCAAAGTTTGGTAGAAGACAGAGAATGTGAGACTTTCATTTACCACATACTCCACAAACATCATCAAAAAGTTCTGTAGTACCACTGCCCTCATTCTGTATGCTATCACCATCATAATCAAATCAACATCTTCATTTCTCATTCAAACCAATAAAAGAACCATTGTCAAAGATCCATTGTCACCAAGAGTCTATTTATTACATATTTTAGTATCATCGAGGCATGGAGTTTGGGTCAATTCCTGCATTAGTTGGTGGACTTGTTGACTGTATAGCCCAGTTTTTAAGAAAGCTGAAGAGTTTGTGATTTATTTCACAAGAGCATCTGTTCTCATGATGCAAGTTAATTTGAAGCTTTAATGAATGGATTTTTTAAATGAATTAATTAGTAAAATTAGAAAACATTTAGCAGCTCCAGATATAAATGTCAATGAGATAAAGATGCTAATTAAGACAGAGTTAAAGGACCCAAGTGGATGTATCTTTTTTCAATAGAGATGTTCAAGAAAGGTAAACTACCTATGATCACTGTGGTCTCAAATCCCCAAACAAAAGACAAAGACCATGAGAAATTCAAAGAAAGGAGAAGCAGTACATTCGGAAATTAGGCACAATAGCTAGAGATCCCCTTTCATCATTATGAACAACTCTTGATAGGAGTATTCTGTAGTTAGAACCTGTAGGATGGATGAAGAATCAAGGATACTAATATGTGTATTCATCTTTTTTGTTATTAGATCTGCTTTGCTGTTTTCTCTTGGCTGTGACAATTTGAGGATCATAATAGCAGTTCACTATTAATAAGAATACCATTTGTATATTTTGTGGAAGGTTCGTCAACATCATTCGAAAGTTCTGCAGAACCACTGGCATATTTTATACTCCATCATCACCATAATCAAATCAACATCATCATTTCTCATTTAAACAAACTAAAGAACCATTGTCACCTCTACAGGACCTATTGTTGTCAAGAGTCCATTTGATACAGCTTTTAATCATAATTTACCTGGTGAGAAAAACACTGAAGCATGGAGTCGAAGTCAATTCCTGTGCTAGTAAGTGAACTTGTTGAATGTGTAGCTGAGTTAATAAGAATAGCTGAAGATCTTTTGCAATTTATTTCACAAGAACAACAAGTTCCTAGTGTACAACAAAATGGTAGATCAGAAGGGGCTGGAGCAAATGCATCTCCTTCCGAGGAAGCTTCACTACCAGATCTTGCTGATCTTTCTGACTTAGAATCAATACTTTCACTAAGAGAAGATGAAGACCTAGTCCTTGACATAGATGAAGCTATGATCGACATCGATGACTTACATGATGGTGTCCTCCCTGATGTAAATGATGACTTAAGCAGTGATTAAGACCCAATTTGCACTGTCTGACATGTGGGAACAGATTATTTTTCTGTTTCAAATATATTCTAATCCTTCTAGATATTAGCAATAAGAGTTTTCTCCTAGCTCTGCACATTTTCATTACTAAAAACTGTTAGAAAAAGTAATACTTGATTTCTTTTCAGCAAAGGCAGTTCTTCTTTTTTTGTTCATAAAGCTCTGACTTCAGTGATGTAGTTTTACCTTTACTTATACTTGTTCTTCTATTAGGATTCCTGATAATAGTAGCTAATAATAACTAAGAAACGAATCTACTGTACCTAACAACAGGATGAAGAGCTGATGAACTCTATCACATCTTGGGACTTAATTTCACTGTTGTATAATGGATAGAAATTAAAAGGGAAATATTCTCCAGGATGATATTATAGACAATATGTTCACATTGATATGACGATGTTGGGACACTTGTATTTGAAAAGATGTAACTCCTTACTGGCTCTTTAAAAGAGAATTTATCAAACAAAGCATGCTATTGTAGAAAAAGGAAAATAATTCTGAGATAGCAACATTGACAAGATACTATGACTACAGAAAGGTTTTCAGGTGACTGTTGCCAGGGAGAAACATTTGAAAATGCTGGATCCAAGATGTTCTAATGAAGGACTGTTCCCACAAATGCTGACCCACATTGCAACTACCTTGCAACTTTGTTCCCAAAATGGAAATGTCACATTGTACCAAATAACAAACAAAAGAAGTCCTAAGATGGTTGGACACAGCCTTACAAACACTATTCACCAATGTAAAGTTACACTTAGGCTCAGATGATATTTCACAAGTGTATCTTCTTGGCCATAACTGAATTTAAACAAAGGTTTGTAGAATTATTACAATATAATCACTACAACTTCAACCTAGCAATGATTCTTATTGAGAGGTAGGGATATTGAGAGGTAGAATAATGAATCTAAACAAAATGTGGACTGGTATTTAGACACAATAATTCTGTATCAATCAGAAGGGGAAAATAAAATTTTTGAAGCACTTCCACACCAAAACAGAGAGTGACCAAATAAATGTGCAGGAATTTCAGTGATTATAACAATTCCATGCCATATAGTATTATACTTCTATTTGAAGAATAGCTACCCTTCAGAAAAATCCATGGACACCGTGGACTTCCTTCCTAGAAAATGACCTTTGCATCTCATGATGTCAGTAACCAATTTGGTAAAGATGTTAACGTATATGATTGGAGAATGTGGTATATGAAAATTGTGATGAAATGACATGCAAAAGATAACCCACACTGGTGGAAACCAATTTATGTAGAATACTAAAACATATTATAGTCAAAAGGTTTAAAGCAGCATTTAATACAGAAGATTGAAGAACTAACCAACATGACAGATACTGTATCTAATATTAAATGATGTCTGAGTGCATTGGTAATAGCTGCCTTTAAAGATAAATGAGTAGCAATTATATAACCAGATCTTGTTTGGATTAACAGTAATTGGAGAAACATGAAAAGTCAGTATTGCCACTGACTTTTAAGATAAGGTAATTTAACAAATTTAATAAAGATAATTCTATATCCAGAACAGTTACCATAGATCCCTTTGAAAAATCAGAAGAACTTGCAGAGTTATTCAGCGTATCAGTGTGAGAAAGTTCCATAACCAACTCCCTACTATGTGGAAAAACTGATAAGAGCAGATGAAGATCCAGAGATTTGGAGGAGCAAACAAATAGTAAAAAATAAAAATTACAGCATAGACCAATTACTGTACATAATTATAAGCCATGCTAGGTAGCAGATTGTGAAACTTTGCTGCTACAATAACAGGACAAACTTTCCCAGTGTAGGACAGTAGATATGCAGGTTTGTCAAAAATTAGTATAAATAGAGTAGGGAGAAAACAAAAAGAAACAGTTTATCTCTCCCTCCCTATCAATAGAGCAGTTTATAACGAATAGCGATAGCAGTTAAACAAAGAAAGCTATTTAGTGACACACTCACATTTAGTAAGAAGAAAAATAACAAAGGAACTAAGTAAAAGTTAAAAGATAGAACCCATGCTTTAATAAAAGGTTTAAGAGCAGTCAGAGAAGATAAACACTCCCATAGGGAATTTGGACTTCAGGAAATCAGGCTATAATTTTGTGATAAAATAAAACTCAAAGGGAGCGAATGAACTAATCTTAAACTGACAGAGGCCACTACAGGTCAAGTAGAGATGAACCAATGTGGGTTGCAATACACATGTGCATGGCAGCAATGCTAGGAATCTCTCTGTATAGCTACCTTTATCTCAAACTACCAAAAACACTATATCTTTCTTATTACCACTTATGTCTTTTCTTCAACAAAATTGGAGAAGAAGGCAGAACAGGTTCTGCCTGGAAGCAAGGGGGGTTGGGGGGGGAGAAAGAAGGGGCAGGGGGGAGAGATGGCCCAAACAATCTATGCACATATGAATAAATGAATAAACAATATAAAAAACTCAAAGCATACCTGAACAAAATCAGGAAACATATCTAAGGAGAGACTTCCAGTCTATTTTAAATTCTTTTTGATGAACAACTTAGATGAAAAAGGGCAGACCTTATGCTCCTCAAACATGATAGGTACTGAAGGGTAGCTATCACTCCAACCAGAACTCTGAAATATGGAATTTATAATAATTCCAGAACAGATGAGTATGAGCTTATTAAAACTGTCAAGCACTTATGAGAGAACATAAGTGATCATACTAACTCAAGCAGGCTGTCAAAACAGCATCAAGAGAAATCTATACAATAACACCAGAAATTGAAACAAGATAAAGACTTGAACAAGCGGAAAAATCACTAATGGTAAACACTGTTCTTAGGAGTCAAAGCAGAAATGTGCTACAACTTCATAATATGTTGATCTGCCTAGTGTTTTGTTTGTCTGGGTCACCTGGAGAGATGAACTACAATGGTACGTCAAGACTAAACAAGACATATTTTCGTGTTTGCTTTGATTGCATGAATTGCGAGATGTAACCCTACTCCAAGAAGTGGACTGTTTTATTAAGTATGTTTGTTATATGCAAAAGAATTAGGAATACAGTTAAAAGTGTTCAGAAATAAATTTAGGAAGTAAGAAATTAGAAAAGTACTTAGAAACGAGCTAGTGGGGGAAGTGTTTTTAAGAGAAGGATGTTACTAAATTGTCAAGAGTTTTGCAGCAGTTCAGATTGGAAAGCTATTGTATTGAGTTTTTTCCTAAGCAGGCTTATGAGCCAACCTGTGTTTTTGTTTTATGAAAATTACCTAACCCTAGTTGATAGAAATAGCTGGTTTGTAGTTGACATATGTCATGTACCTAAAAGCTCAATTACAGGGAAAAGTATTAAGTTAGTCCACTGATTGGGTACCTGTGATTGAAATCTTGAATGTCCTCCAGGAGAATGAAGTGATTGGCTGGTCCTGTACCAAAAGTATCCCTATACTGGACCTTCTTGTGACCAATGCCAAAGCTAGTTTGTGTGTGTGTGTGTGTGTGTGTGTGTGTGTGTGTATGTATGTGTAATGGAGGAATAGAAAGGGAGAAAAGCTTATCATTACAAGACAAGCTTAAAGGTGTTAAAACCAAGGAAGCTAGGCTAATAGATGACAGTGGAGTAGATTAGATGGGTTAAGTTTTCACTCTTATGTACTTTAGCTAAAGTGTGTGGGCAGATATGCATATTTGCATCCTTATGTGTGATGATTACTTCATTAGATTATAATTATAGGTTAGATTACAATTATTAGATTATAAATTTTTATGATCTGTATTAGTAAATTAATCCAAACAAATTTATTGCTTTGCTTTAAAAGATTTTAACTTAATAAACTTTCATTCACAAATCAAAGAATTTGTGGTCATATTAAATTACTTGGAAGTGAATTTGGTGGTTACCAAACTGGCATAAAATAACTCCATGCAACAGAGGGTAGTAGAGTATAATCAGAGAAAGTATTATACCAAAAGACTGAAGTTCTACTTCTGGCCTGTCAGATGATCTCTAACAAATCTCTGAACATAGCCCTTTAAGATTTATTAAATCTGAGTTATAATAATTTTCTGCTTATCTTTAATAATAACAAGGAACAAATAAAATGATACAGTTTCAAAGTCTTTAGTATATCTGATAATGGATTAGAATACATGAAATAAAGGACTTTTTAGAAATATCTGAAAACTGTCTTTATGAGAATACCTGAAAGTCTATTTGACATATAAGGATTATCCAATAGTTTTATAATTGTTTTATAGGAGACTAAAGATTCCATATTCTATTACTTCCTATCAAAGTTTTAATTTGGAACAAGCTTTTGTTTCATCTTTGGAACTTATTTTTTATCAAATTAAATTCTTTTAGAAAGTCTATTTGGGTTCTAGTAGGAATAATAATGAGGAAAAAACTATAATGAAAAAGCCCTCAGGAAATAATGAATTATATTCCATTTAAGCCTAAGACTTTGTTCCTGAGGGGGTTATGTAACTCTGAACATTATTAACCCATCATGATCCAACTATATTTGTGCAGCTGTTTTCTTACAGAAAAGCTGATATTGTATTTTTTGTACTAATAGACTTATCTTAATAGACTACAAGTAAGTTTAGTGATTCTTCTTGAGTATACTTCCTATTTTTTCAGAAACTACTCTTTCCAGACTCCATTTAAAACTTGATTTTCGTCTGCTTATATAAGTTAAGAAAACAAAAAAACCAGACAGCCAGCCAACCACCCACCTAACCAACAGAAAATCTCAAAACTAAAATTAAATCCTAGTTCCTGAACTTATTCGGCAGTTATTTCTACGTACAGATACAAATACCCATTCATCTCAAATGTCACCTGTCTTCAGGGTAATAAGGAATCCTTGAAGGCAATCAACATTATAACTTTGAGGAATGGAACTGCATTTTATCAAGGAAAATCAGTCGACACTTTATCCTTTGTCACAATTTCATTTTAAATACCCTAGAAAAATGCTGAAAATGT